ACACATGTTGAGGCGAATTCCGTCAAAGGCCACTTTGCTGTCTGAATTCCCAGCATCATGAGTACACAAAGCTTAGCTTGGTAAATGTAAGGGCACTCACCGCCGGAGAAAACTTCGACTTTCTCAACGGGCCTATCGTCGAGAAAGGTGCCGAGAGTTAAGAGCTTCACCGCTTCCTTGCCTGCGTTGGTGAGGTAGCCCTTGATGCCCGAGTTGCCAGACTCCTCCAGACGAACGACAAGAGGGGTGGCACGAGCCGACAAGTCGACCGAGGCAGCCTGAGCTAGCAGAGCCAAAGAAGAAATGGCGACGAGGACCTTCATGATTGTGGGTGGGGTAGTGATCAGATGAATCGAAAAAAGTATACTGTAAGTCGAGATTGATTAATCGGACCGGATGAAAAGAGTGACTGAGAGGTTGAAAAGAAGTGCGTGTAAACGAATGAAAGTGAAACCGAGATGTCAAATCAAGGAGAGACTGGGTTGCCACATGAGAGAACCCGTGAGTAGGGAAGCGATGAGGATCTTCCCTACTTATAGTTGACGTTCAATGGTCTCTTCACAGGAGTATCCTCTTGGGCAACGTATTGCAGCCCATTGGCGATACAGAGACTCCTACTGCTTGTGTGGTTCTAGGCAGCTCTTTCGACCTTGACCGGCAGTATAAAATGAGCCAAACGAGATACAGGGGTTTCTGAATCACTAGCACCAGCCCAACTCCCAGGTTTTCCGCCTCATGAGTTGTACGTAATAGAGTCTTCATTCGTTGAAGACTGTTCAAGTTCACGATGTTGGACACACTGATTGGCTTGATCGTAACAGAGAGGCCACGCCCTTTGGCCAACATGGATTTTAATTTGATAGAAACGATTGCCTGGCAAGTCTTGACAGTTTGGTACCCTGTGGTTTAAAAAATCGACTACTAACAAAATAGGAAATCCGCAGTGTCGATGCTAGGAAACCCCCTAGTACCCTTGCATTTACGACAGCTTCTGAGGGTGCCCCTCTTGGCTCGGACTGTCACACGAACCCTATCAGGAAGGTGAAGGCTTCTGTAACGCGGCACTTAAAGTAACGTTCGGTCTGGAATCAGTAGGTGGGTGAGCGACGCTGGGATCCGCAAGCCCCGGTCCGCGGGAAAATGACGGGTAAAGGCTCTACGATCAGTGATTTGAACATGCTTCGCTGAAGACTAGTTGGATTAATCCCAGCTAGATCGAATGCTAAGTTTTGGAGCCGAGCTGGCTTCTATCTGTTGAGAACCACCTGCACTCAATCGTTCGACGCGATGAACGATTTGACACAGCTTCATTTCCCCCAGGATGATCTGGTGGAGCTCTGTTGACATTACGTTATGACGTGAAGCTAGCTAATAGGTTAGAATCAAGTACTGACGTACCGAGCAAGCTAGGCCGTGCCTTAGACCTGGAACTAAGCCGTATTCAAGTATTGGACATAATTCTCTTAGGCCCCAAAGTAGGTAAGTAGAGGAACTCAGGATTAGTACTTACAGAAGGGTATCCGATGAAGTAAAAGAAAAAAAAAAAGAAAAAAAGAAAAAAGAAAAAAAAAATGTTCAGGACTTTTATTGCAGTACCATGATAATTTTTGGGGGCGCCTGAGGCATGTCTCTGGGCACACAGCTGCTGAGCAGGTTTGCCGTTGAATTGAAGCGCCGACTACGACCTTCACCACGATTAACGCCCCAAAGACACCCCTACTCAGATGAGTATGGAGAATCTCCTTGATGAGCGATGACCCATACATATGGTCCACGACTTGGAAGATGCTAGAGACGGTCTTCTGTAAGCGCCTTCCATAGGATTCACCAGCTTTTGGTTGAAATCAGAGAACTCAACGCCTCAGAGGCACAGAGGGGACTTCAGTCTTAACACGTGGACCATCACAACATATAGCGAAATATCCAAGACCGAAGACCGAAGACGGGCAACGAACCCTACATCCATCTATGGTAGGGCATATAATGATATACATTGGGTGTCATGACTCTTCATTTCTTCAGAGGATGGGTTCTGCCCGGCCTTTGTCCCAAGGTCAGGCAGAGAGCTATACAGTCTCAAGCCTGAAGACGTACGCGTAGATAACCAGACCCACGTCCTGCAGAAAGGCAATTTGGTGGCCAGGGCATATATTATCCATGTGTTCAAGGTGTGCCAGGTCCAAGGTATTGGATAAGAGAACTATTCATGGGGAGGGTACCGGCCTGTGATGTCGCACAGAATCCCAGAGCTGTGAGAATGTATCAAACTATTTTCCCCAATACAAATAACCTCAACACGGGTACTTCGACGTGTAAATACAAAACCAACCAGTGCGCACAGCTGTTGCGTTCAACTAGACAATACGGTGTTGTCGGCCCGTTCTGTTTTGACTCGTCACCCTAAACACTATCATCTAGGCAGCATTACTATTCTCACGCACGTGGGGAAAGTGTAGGCTCGTATAAAGAAACACTGCTGTATGATGGTTTGGGCGGCGATGTGACACGGGGGCGAGGTGGGATATCTCAAGAAGGAAACGGACAGGTACAAAACAGTGTTGTCTTTAGGCCTACTTCTTCGATAGCTCTTTAGCTCGGCACACCATCATCTATAACAAAGCAACATGCACCGTATTCGCGTCATGACGTGGCTCTGAGAATTCGGCCAAAGGCGACGGAACCAGTCCCAGCCATCATCACCAGTCACAACCCTCAGCCAGCAACGCCGCCAGCTTCTCGAGCCAATGCTGGTCGACCTCGTCGAACCCGTCGAGCACAGTGCAATCAATGTCGATAATGGCCACGACCTTGCCCCCCTTGGCAACGATAGGCACCACAATCTCGCTCTTGCTGTCGCCGTCGCAGGCAATGTGGCCCGGGAACGCCTCGACGTCCCGCACGAGCTGCGTCGCGGCCGTCGCCGCCGCCGTGCCGCAGACGCCGCGCCCGAACCGGATCGTCTGACACGCCACCTTGCCTTGAAAGGGGCCAAAGGATGAGCTGCCCCGGTGCCAGGGGATCCAGGACGTAGAAGCCCGCCCAGTTGACGGGCGTTGCTCGGCGCAGCGAGGGAGTGCAGCGCGTCCCAGAGGAGGGAGGCCGCGTTGGAGAGGTTGCTGAAGAGAAAAAGGGGGTCGTCAAGTCAGCACGGGGGGTGTGGCCCTTCTGGGGGGCGACGGGACGGTTGGGCCAAGGGTGTGTGTGGTTTGAATGTGTCCCTTACAAAAGCCACAGAGAGAGTACTTACCAGACCTGTGATGATATGTCAGTTTTGTCTGTCATCGTGGCATGAGAGGTTGTTCAGCTGCTGCTGCTGTTGCTTACCCAGTTTCGCTGTTCGTGGAAAAGACCCTCGGCGTGGAGGAGGACCTGTTCGTACGCTTCCACCTTGGTCACGCCCTCGGCGAAGTTGGAGGCATCGGCGTGGACCTGTCATAATTCAGCTTCCGCCACCCCTTCGGTGCTCGCTGAGTGGTAGCAGGAGGAAAAAAAGATACCATGTTGAGATCTGACAAGCTATGGCAACCGCCTCGTTCTCGGTGAGCCTCTCTTTTCTCCCTTCAATTGGGCGAGTGACCGGTAGTGTGAGCGACACGTTTTCGGCGGCCACACCGACCTGCTAAAGCAATTGCGCCATAAAAAAAAATTGAATCATCACGTCACGTAAGCGAGACCTCGAAGATGCGTCACACCACTCTGTTCTTTTCCATACGTCCACTTTTGATCTCCCGACTGTCCGATCATATCCACCGCTCTCGAAAGAAGGGGTTCTCACTACTAATGCCGCGAAGGACATTTCATTATTGGTATCACGAGCTCGTGCCACCTTCTTATTTATTTCTCTCTTGATACGTCGTTTCTACTTGCTGACTGGCCGTGACAGCTCGTCCCCCTTTTTGATATCCTTGCGCTCTGATCATGTGTCGCTTTTACTTTTCATTATAAAATGACCACTATATCGCTTCGATTGCGTCCCCCCCGCTCAAGAAGCCATCTATTGGAGGGCCTTCTTGGCAAAGTTGGGCAGGACAAAGGCAGCCTTGTGGATGTCGGCGTTGTAGTACTTGCAGAGCTTCTCCTCCTCCTCGGCGGACCACTTGCGCAGGGGCTCGCGGACGTTGCGGTTGGCGTCCTTGCAGCAGACCATGAAGCCGATCTGACCGCTGGGGTAGGTGGGGATGGTGGTGTAGGCGTACTCGGCAACGGGGAAGATCTCGTTGCAGTCCTTGCGGAGCTTGGTGATCAGGGGCAGGTGCAGCCACTGGTTCTCGGCTGTTGACACGTTAGCGGAAAGCTCCTGTACCTATAAGAAAGCATCGACAGATGCAGCCGGGGAGAGACTTGGGGGGGGGTCCAAGGATCGTAAGGCAACTGAGCAGGCTGGCTGTCATCCGAAAAAGGTGAGGCAGGAAAGGCGAAGCAAGTAAGAGGGAGTACCTGGACAAATCTTAGATGACGTCGCCAGATATCACAGGATTTTTGGGAGAAGCTCCCAAAAGGCGGGGGGTGGATAAACTTACAACCTTGGGTGGTGATGACGCCGCCATCGCGCAGAGCGTCGTGGAGCAGCTGGAAGTAGGGCTTCTGGAAGAGCATCTCGGCAGGCCCTCGGGGTCGGACGAGTCGGTGATGATGACGTCAAACGAGTTCTTGTAGTCGTCGAGGAACTTGAAGCCGTCACCGACGTGGGTCTTGGACTTGGGGTGGTCGAAGCCAACAGACATGCCGGGCAGGTACTGCTTCGAGAGGCGGATGACAGCCTCGTCAATGTCGCAGAGGATGGCCTCCTCGACGCACTCGTGCTTGACAACCTCACGGAGCACCCCGCCGTCGCCGCCGCCGATGACGAGGACGCGCTTGGGGTCGGGGTGCGAGTTCATGGCAAGGTGAGTAATCATCTCCTGGTACGAGAACTCGTCGCGCTCGGTGGCCTGGATGACGTTGTCGAGGACGATGACCATGCCGTAGTCGGTCGACTCGAAGATGAGCACATCCTGGTACTTGCTCTTCTCGTGGTGAACGACCTTCTTGACCTTGAGAGTCATGGCCTGGCCGGGCCACATGTTGGAGATCTCACGGAACCATCCATCTGATTCTGGTCAGCCTCTGTCCGTCGCGATGACATCTTGTGGTGCTCGGGTGGATGATTGGGAGCGAATCGCTCGAGGATTGGCTGTAGGTGAAGTGGGGGGTGCTTCACGGATGGCGGGGTAAAAATATCAAGACATTCTGCCCCTCATTCGTATCGAGGTCTGTGAGAGCCCCCGGCGAATGCTTCCCACTCCCCGGTGGCCTTGCAATCCCGGAGCGAGTCTGATTGCATCTAAACATCCGATGGCGCGCCGTGCGATTTTCAAGAGCAGGGAGTGACAAGTGACGCGATTGAAGACCTCGTCGAGAAGATCGAAGGGTGCGGAGGGGTCCAACCAACCTTGGATAGTGGGATGGGCAATTTCGCTCATGGTTGCGACGGGTCTGCAAAAGCTGGGAAGGCGTGGGTGCAAATCTCTGGTGAGGCGGGGGTGCCAAAGAATGGAATTGCGCAGCAAGAGATGACGGAACGCCAGTGTCTTGTGGTGTTGTTTTTGTTGAAGTTGGGCTATCAACAGTGCAATGTCGTCACTCGTGAACGGAAAAAGTAGGCCAGGGTGCGGTCCGCGAGGTTTATAAACGTTGGAGAAAATTTTTCTGGATCCAACCCAACCCAATCCACGAGCACGACCACGGGCTGCTGGCGGTCAGAACCTGCTCTGAGCGACTCGATAGCGACAAGCCTGAACCCACTCGCTCACTGCTCATCTCTAGCTATTCGTGTCTGCTGGGCCTTGTTTTGGGCATCACTGCCTTGCCTGTCACTCAGGCCAGCGATCCGTCGCAAAGGGCCAAAGACAGGCCATGGTCCAAAATGGCAATTTTTCGAGACCATTGCATCCCCTCCAAAAGACTGGATGACCAACAAGACGGCAGCAGCGGTCAAGCGCGCCAGCTCGGCCGACTGACTGATGGACAGAACCCATCAGACCCCCCGGCAGCCCGGACCACACGCCAGACATCTGTCGGACACAAAAGGCGGCCAAGGGTATGAACGGCAGGGGGCGGCTCACGCACAGCGGGTGGAGCTCGATGGCTCACAGCTGTGAGAGAGACGGGAGCAATGCCAAACGAGAACTGCATCGAATGGGGGCAATGGGTCTCTGAACAAGCATCCGCAATGCACAACACTCGACATTGCTTCTTGCCATCAAATGCATCAGGCTTCTTATCTTCCCACATCGAGCTCGAATGCCCGACGGTTGCATCCTCAGATCTGGGTCCTGTTGCCGAAGTGGGAAACGTTCAGTCGTGACACTGGCAAGACATGTTGTCTGGTTGCGGTCAGGCTCCCGAGAGGGGGGCTCTGGGGCTCAAGAGCGTTCCGACACGCGATGACACCTTGGGAAGATTCAAACCCGCAGATCCAATTTCCCCTGCATTTTCACCATGACGCCCTTTTATTGATGTTCATGGCGACCTGGCCCTGGTCATCCTGCTCGTCCGTCTCTGTCTTGTCGCAGCTGTCTATTTCGCTTGACTTCTCTGTGGCGTCCTCATGGCTTCTCAGCTGGGCGTCTTGCGGTCTGTGGGGGAAAAAAAGAAAAAAGAAAGCAAAACTTCTTGGCCACCTGCCGGTGTCTGCCCACCCGTACCGGATCGATGATCATGTGGAAAGGTGCCCGTCACCAGTCGTCCACGCTAACACGACAGGCTTCCCACCGATGAAACACCTGGCGGGTCGTCTGGCCACAAGCGCCTTTCTCTGGGGGGCAAACCCGGCAGTTCAGGGAAGTTCCCTACCCATCCAACAGACGTTGTGCGGCGGTTTACCAAGTATCGCATTTGCTGGCGTTGCTGGTCTGGGTTTCGACAATGTCAGGTCAGGCAAGGCAGTGCACCTGTTGACGCTCCAAATAAAGAAAAAAAAAAAAAGCACAGCACCCTACAGCCATGCCGGAATATGGCTGTTGCTTCGAGCACAGCATTGGACGGAAGTCAGTGCTCAGACGTCTTACCCCCAAGAACCCAAAAGTGTGCCCTGCACTGTGACATGATGATCAGAGGACGGGATGAGATGCCGGCCTTGTACATGGTAGATAGATGCTGTCCCCACGCACGAGCCTGTGAGCCTGTGAGCCTGAAGGTCCCTTCAGTTTGCCTTCGCCGCATCCCTGCTCGCCATGCGCCGCGCGCCCAAGGAGGGCCATGGTCGTGCTTGGCCTCCCTCCCCTTTCCCATCTCATCCAACCGAAAAACGGGAGCATGCCCACTTTACCGGATCCGACGGCGACGATGCATTGGTTGCCTTTCATGATGTGGTGTCAAAACGTCGAGGTGCGCTAGGACAGTCCATTGAGCGTCTAGAAGCTGCGGGGTCGAGGATGGACACGAACGGACTTTTGACGGGGAAACCATAATGATCATACAGAAAGCAACATGAGACCAGCTGGTATATAGTACTCCTTTGGGATCATCCACTGTCCAGATCGTAGGAGGTGCGTATTGTACATCTGCGGAACCCTGGCGGGCCTTCCGCCATGTGCGCCCCCATGCGCGCCTCCTCGACCTAGTGCTTGTGCTAGGTTCCATTCGCAGGTGCATGTAGGTCGGCCGGGTGTGTCCAATAGTGAAAACCATGGGGACGATTGAACTCTGAACGCAAATCCTGGACCAAGCCCGCTAGGAGTTCGGACTTGAGGGCTTCGGGTTCACATGGCAGTGGCCTACACTCAGGACAGCACAACAAGGACAGCGCGACGAAGAAACGTCAGAGCGTGCGCGCCGACACCAGTGCCAAAAACGTGCTAGAGACGGCCCTTCTTCAGGGTAAGCAGGAACTTGTCTCGGACTTGAGAGGCAAAACAGGGCAAGACAGACGGTGGCCAACAGCGACTGCCCCTGTCGAGGGCCATGCAAGCCCGTCCGGTGGGTTGAGATTCTTCAGCGGGTTCTTCCCACTGTTTCTGCCTTCCCATGTGCCCCGAAGTACCTACCTGCCCTGCCTGCCTGCCTTGCCTACCTCCTGGCCTGGTTCCTGCGTCTGCGTCTCCACTTTCCCACGCCGAGGTGGTACCTGACGGCTTGTCTTCCGGGTTGCTCTCCCACTGCTTCCGGCGAGCGACAGTGTGTGAGTGTAGAGGAGAGACGCTGCCAATTCCCCAAGTCGCGCCCACTGGTACTCCTGGCCGGCCGCCGGCCGGCTGCACTCGTTGGTTGCTTGGAATTTGCCCCCAAGCCCCAGGATCCCCAAGCCCACCACCACCACAACTGTGCTCTTTTCGCCC